GCCCCCCCCCCCCCCCCCGCCAACTAAAAAAGTGGGGGTGGGGAGCCCCCCTGGGCCCTGGCTTCTGACGCCCCTGATTATTGCTGCCTGAACAACCTTTCATTTACAGTTAATTATAATCTATCTGAATCTCTTGAAAATAATGTAGTCTTTTGCTGAATTGTGCGCCGTGACTTATTTCAATATATCGAAATCATCCCACCTCATATCTCGTCCTGGCAAAGCGGGATCATATAAACAGCCCCTTATTCAGCAAATTGTGCATGCTGCCTCTGATCCCTTGGGGATGAGGCAGCACTTTCCTTGCGATAGTAACTCCTAGTTTACTGTTCTATATATACCAGTGAACTCAATCTATTTACCTGGAATGATAACATTCAGTCATTTGGCAGTTAAAACACAGAATAGGAAGTTATAGCAGAAGCGTAACTAAAGCAAATATTTGTCCGCGTTTTTACAAGCGATTCGTCATCAATCACGCCATCCTGGCTAGTACAACCGGCACTTTGTACCTACCGAATCCTGATAAAAACTTCCGGCTGTACTAGCCAGGATGGCGTGGCCTGACGTGAGGGAAACGACTAGAGTTACGCTTCTGGTATAACTTCCTATTCTGTGGTTAAAAAGTGAAGCCTCGCGTGAGCAGTGGCGTCAGCTCTCCACGCCATTTCCACGCCATATGGTAAGTCAGTTTCAATCCCCTTATACGCCATCACCGCGTGCGGTCAATTGTCACGCCATAAAACGCCATATAGTACGTCAGTTTCAGTCCCATTATACGCCATCACCGCGCGGTCTATCACGAATCAGCGCACGTCAAGTGGCGTTGGCATTGGCTTCACGTTTCTCCCGCATGTTATCATTCCAGATAAAAGACATGGAGTTCACTGATATATACAGTGTACGAAATTCAAGATGGCGGCTAAATCGTCACTATAAACAAATTTTTTTTCTCGTTAACTGCAGGCTATCAGGATGACAACATTTGTGTTTTATAACGGAAATACATCATATAACAATATAATAAAATTTTTCACTCTCCGGGCGGTGAACGAAACTTGTTTTCTAGCCGCTTTTTGATGAGTGGCGGATAGCCTTAGCCTTTACACCTGAAATTCGCCAAAATTCAGTATTCTTCTTTTTTTAGGCAAGTTTCCATTCTATTAGCAACAGCTAGAAAGAAAAGTACATCTTCTGACCAAGCCCGTAGCTGGCTCTCAATTTCTGGGGGGGGGGGGGCACTGCTGAAAAATTTAGCAGAGGGGATTAGTTTTTGTGCTAGTTTCCGATCGCAGCCCTGGAAAAATTGGTAAAAATACGTTCTTCTAGACCGTGATTCCGTGAAGAATATTAGATTTAACCTTTATTTCTTAAAACTTTAAAGTAAACATAGAAAATCAACTTTCTAGCTATAAATGAACTTAACCAAACATGGGAGTCACAGCAAATATAATCTGATTAATAGTTTATACAAAGAGGGCATCGCCGTTTTAAAGACTAAAGTAAACCAGGGTCAACTCAATTGTAGCTTCGGCAAAAAATAGGCACTCGAGGAGTGCGCAAGGATTTGCAATTTTGTTGTCAATTTTATAATGCGAGAAAGATGGAAAAATATCGGGCAACAAAACACAACATCATCACAAATCTTTTCTTTGAATGTCAACTTTTGTTTAATTACTGTTATATTTAAAGTTACTTAACTTAAGTATAAATATTTGGTTTTTCAGTGATACTGTGACCCAACGGCAACGATCATCGTCAAATTTCAGTATGCGAGGTATTTTGCTAAAAAGTAAAATTGCTTGTTTTTCACCTTAATTTTCGCACATATACAGGTTGTGCCATTGTTCTGGATAATAAACGCATGTATACTGCAAATTATATTCCATCAGTATTACGTTCCTGCTCGAGATCATTTGCCATCAAAAACACATCATTTTCGGCCATGTTTCAGCGAAGAATTTCGACTGCTAATTTCCCGACTGCGACAAGTAATTGTGATTATTACTTCTGCTATTTTGCTTTTATGACATAGAACATTCGCATTTTCTGTACATAGAACATTCACATTTTCTGTACATAGAACATTCACATTTTCTGTACATAGAACATTCACATTTTCTGTACATAGAACATTCACATTTTCTGTACATAGAACATTCGCATTTTCTGTACATAAAACATTCACATTTTCTGTACATAGAATATTCACATTTTCTGTACATAGAACATTCACATTTTCTGTACATAGAACATTCGCATTTTCTGTACATAGAACATTCACATTTTCTGTACATAGAACATTCACATTTTCTGTACATAGAACATTCACATTTTCTGTCAGTCAAATGTTCCTGAACCTGTCTGGCACCATAACCCCAACCCCAAAGGTGGAAAAAGTATTGGAACCTAGTTCCCAGAAATTTTTTAGGATCTACATTTTTGCAGAAAATGTTAGATAGCTAATTCTGAAAATTAGATTGAACTGCAGGAAAGTTTCTTAAAAAATGTTCATATAGCCTACAGTAGGAAATTTGTTTTTAATCCTGTAAGACTGTAACTACTATGATCACAGGATTTATCTTGTGATGTCTTATAATCAGTCTTAAAGACTTATTGCTTTACACAACAACACATCTTAATGAATATCATCCATGTATGGTACGCAAGACAGTCATGAACGACAATGTTTGGTATTCTTTCCTATATATTGTAATTTTTTGCAGATTTTTAGCCCTAAACCTAGGTTCCAAGAAAGAAGAAACATTTTCCACCTCTGCTCTACCCTCACTGGTCCTTATCCTTCTGGCCACTTGTTTGTGTGAAGAAGAACTCTAACTTGCACATACTGTACATTTGAAATTCCATTCCCCGGTTCGATCTGGGTGATGGCATGTGCATTGCATACGAGTACTCGCCATAATCACTTGAATACTAAGGAAATCAACTGAAATTTATTTGGTGTCATTTCAGCATGTTTTTAAAAGAATGAGAAAAATATGTTTGTTGGAGGAATAGCATCTATTGATCTAATTATTGGGATCCGTGTTGGACAAATAACCACAGCATATTTAAAATAGTTTGCCATAAATTGACTTTTGGCTGACACATTTTCCTGTAAATTTTACTTTACCAGCCCCTTTATTAAATCGTGTTTGTATCAATCATTCTCTGGTCTATTGCAAATCAATGTTGAAGCTTTATTTAAAGGTGATGTAAAGTCTGTTATGTAAACAAACGCTTTGTTTACATTTTGAACTAAGTGCTACAGTTGTAAAATATGATTAGATATATATTATGCTCAATTTTTAACACTTCTCTGGTTCGCTATGCTTGTGAATTAATTAATAGAGACTAGAGATTCAATTCAAGAAAGTTCGGAAGGTGCGAAATACTAACAACATTCCAATGGTCGGGTCCCGACCATTGAAATGTAGGCCTGCGCAGAACTTATGCGCAGAACGGATTTTACATCACCTTTAATCAAGTACAGATTAAGACTCTTAAAGGACAATTCACATGATCCGACACTACCATAGGGGGCTACCATTGGGGGGGGGCTGATTAGTCAGGGGCAATTATTAAGTCATTATTTCCCTCTCAAACTTTACAGATTATCGCTAGTTTACAAATTGTTGGGGGGGGGGGCTGAAGCCCCCCTCCCCCGTTGCTACAACCCTGTCCGATTAATTGGATACTAAACTTACCTACCATGGTATTGCAATCAGTTCGTTTGCAAATTCTCATAAATATTACAGTCCATTACAGTCCTTGTTAATTAATAAACACATACAGTACAGCATCAGCAGGAGAATTGTATCCAACTAATTGGATACTGTGAAAAGAAAAAGAAAAAATGATATGGTACCCCTGATGCCAGTAATTAATAATACAGTAGACTAGTTCCAAACAAACACTAGGTGGAATTTTCCTAATTCTCAGTCAAAGCTCCCACATATATTTAAAAATTAACATGGCCAACTGAATCCTTCACCTAACATGGCCTCTCCCTGAAATACATCCACAGCAAAGCCATCAATCTCTTTGGGGAGAATTTCATCGGGAGGTATTTCAGATTCAGGTTTTTTCTTCCTTACCCAGATAACAAGGCAAAGTTCATCTGTTTTCCGACCGCGAACCGTCTTGTAGTTGATATCGACCGCAGTGACATTTGGCCATGCGAGAAGACGATCGATGTGCTTTTGTTTTACGACTCGTAGTTCCTCTCTAATATCAGTCATTGCTCACTTTGAAGAAGGAAATGTTAACAATAATGTCGAATAAATCCAAAAACGTTCAAAATGCCATATCTTCGACTTGTCTGGAAAAGGAGCTACAAGCCTACAACCTTCGAACCTTGTAAATAAAATAATAAATGTAGATCCAGTGTTTCCACAATCCCATTCTCAAAATAATTTCCTTTCTAACAGCTGGGAAATTTGTTGCGCATGCGCCGGATTTCCATTGAAACTTGAAGATTTCCCCGAAGTCAGAAATATTACGAGATATTACGATTTTAAATTTCTTGAATGCCTGTTTAATCTTTATATATTTTTTGCTTGAGACAAAGACAAAGTAAAATGTATTCTACGTTTCCAGTGTATAGAATATCTCGTTTGAACAGCAATAGAATATTATAATCTTGACACAAACAAGAAGACATTTGACACGCTAAATCTGCAGTCATGCGGGGGCCTGAGGTATATTAGCCAATCGTCGCGAGCCTGATAGCCGTGTCAAACGCAAAACAAGTACAAATTTGGGTGATTCCTGAACAGAAAGAAGTTCAATGTTAATACAACTAACATATATTCTATACAAATACGGGTGGTTTAATGTTTTCAATTGAATTTTCAAAATTTTTATCTATCGCTATGATAGGGGGTCTATTATAGTTTCGCGGTTATGCGGATTTAGCCATATTTTGAGGTCGGATTTTGGTTATATCCAGTTGTTTTGTACGGTTTGCGGTTAACTGGAAATCGTGCGGAGACGGAAAATGTCGAAATTAGCCCTCCGGATTCGGTTATTGACCGAAATAAATAGCGGTTTTCGGATAGTTTTTAACATGCGGTTAAGAAATATTTTACAAGCTCATGGCAATAATTCAGTTCATGGCATTCATCTTCCGATCACGCTTATGTGTTGTTCCACAGGGTCTCGAAATGACGATATCAAATAGGCAAAGTGGCCGAGCTATTAGTAAAATCAGGAACACCGGAACACCAAAAATTCCGCTTAATTTGTTAAAAATTCGAGGGGGAAAATTACCGGAGGTTGTGAAATTATTGCAGGAAAAATTATTCTGTAAAAGTAAAACTTGCTTTTTAATATTCTGACTTGCCGATTGCTACTAATTACGAACTGAAATCAGTCTCAAAGTAATAAATATTTGCCCGAAAAGATGAAATCAAAGCAACTTGATTGTTTCTCACACAAAACGTAAGCAGCGATGGAAGGAAAACCTTTTTATAGCTATTTAGACTGCTAAGGCTTCCTTTGCTTTGCCAATTGCCAAATTTTATACTACCAAGTTCGCGTGAAACTTGTGAACGGCTCCCTTTTCAATACCCCAACAGAAATGGCGACTATACATACTGACTATTGGTCTATTGCCTCACATTTGCGGAGTATGTTTCGAAATATATTACCACATATGCCTCGGTTTAAACGCGGTTACGTTTAAAAGAGAAATGAGTGCGCGGATTGCGGTTAAAATTTGAAAAACAGCTCGGTTTTCGGAGATGCGTACCCCCTATAATAGACCCCCATGATAATCAAACTGTGAAAATGCCGCAGTTTTGTTGACGCTTGCGAATGCAAAATAACTTCCCGTAAACAGAGCATTTCTACACAAAACTCTCGCTTAGTCTTCTGATGCACTTGTACGTTCGGTTCTACTAGTTAAACAAGGAAAATATTCAAGAAACACTGGTAAATTATCGTTGTCAAAAAACATTTCAGTGCTGAGGCAGCACAAGGACAAGGTCTCAAGGGCAAGGGCAAGTTGTCGATTTCATTACATTTTACAGTACTTCGAATGTTTTCGAACTCTTGCTTCATACAAGAGCAGTAAACGCACGCATTTCAAGGCGAAATTAGACGCAAAGGGGCAATTTTTCAACAAAATTTATTGTTAAATTCTGTTTCCTATGTGCCTAGGGAGCAAAAAAATGTGATTTTAAATTTGGAGGATCGGTAAATTTTTTTGCAATTTGGCCTGGTATTGCACCCTACCTAAGTAATGACTGTGCTGTAAAAGTAATCAAATATACTATTAGTTGAATTTCCCTTCATTGAAAGGATCTACTATTGTGGACTAAACTAAATTTTGATCAGCATACAAGGCTGCAAACAACAGCCAAGAATTAGCTGGGTAGTTTGCAAACTTTAAAAATAATTGGACCTCAAACTTTGATCCCCAAAAGTAAACAAATGGCCAATACCTCGAACAGAATCCAAGTTTTGACCACTAGGGGCAATTTTTAGATGTGAAAAAACTTGTTTAAAATACATATCAAGCAAAGGCAAAACAAAATTTGGTATTAATTTTTTTGAGGAAATGTCAAGGTTTTTTGCTATCCGTGCACGCTTCTACACCCCCTCCCCCAGGATCTTCTCTACCTGAAAACAGTTTTCTGCAGAAACTATGCTTTTTTATTGGGAAAATTTTTACTTTTCTCCACAAAATACTTTATAAACACGGAAACCTTAAATATTTAAATAATTTTCATACCTTTTTGGGATTGCAAAAAGCAAAATTTGATTCATAATCACACTTTTAAAATATATGTGACAACGTTGCTTCGAAATCACTATCACGCAGTAGCATGTTTATTTACCCTCATCCTTTTCACTGAATAAAGTTTATCTTTTTGAAAAGCTATTTGTTTTATAGCTCTTGGTTAGCAGTTTACGTTTATGTCGATTTTGTAATCCGCGAATGAAAACAGATATTCGAAGAGCACAAAAACCAACTCCTAGCTATGTAACTTTATCGTCTGAATTTTGAATCAATCCACAATTAAATTGCTGGTAATGTAGATGCTTTCCATGCATACTTGACATGTTAGTGAAGCTTTTCAAACAATTTAATTTCCTTGATCGCCGTCTTAAAAATGCAAAATCATAAGTTGAAATTTCACTCGTGTTGTTTTTTCAAATTTTCGAATTATTGTAAAAATAATAAGTAAAATATCGCGTGCGCCAGCAATTTCTCTGCACAGCGACAACAAATTTCCCAGCTGTTTTCCTTTCTACAAAATTTCCTTCCAAACTCTTATCAAATTAAATGTACCTAAAGTTACGGTTACCACTGAGTAATTTAACCAACAGTACTACAGCAATTCAATTATTTTCATTTATACTAGAGCTAGGGTGTTTACTATTTTTATTTAGATCTTGCATTTGTCGTTTCTCTTCCACTCTTATACTTCATTGTCAACATTCGTGATATCAATTGGCTTTGGATTTTTACCTCCATTAGTCAGTGAAGATATAAAGTCGAGGTCCAATTTAAGGAGACACTAAACTAGATAACTGTATCATCATGATGTGTTCCGTCACATCAAGATGAGGTCCAGTAATGGTCATTACTTAATGTTTTAGTGTTACAACAGGAGGAATAATTATTAATTTATATATGGATAACTTTCTGGATAGCTTTCCGAGTTCTAAACTGTTCTTGACTTGATCAGTGAAGCCCAGGTCGGGTTCCATTGTTTGGAACACCTTAATCATGATAGTCGATATAGGTGTTTGGCGAATATGCCACGATTTATTTTGCTCACAATTGGAGACGGCAAAGAAGAACTAAACTAACCAGTTAATCATACCAGAAATTCATGACCACGGGGCAAAATAATGATAAGAAAAAGTGCATGCCCTGCACGTTGCAGCAGCAAACGTCGGTCACAGAGGTGAACAGAGCATGGAAATCACTAAGCAACAAACACCAACAGTTCTGCAGGGACTGACTAATGGCTTGCAACATGTACGCAGTGCGTACCTATTTTTAATATTTTGCCGCCCGTAGAGATACTTAATTAACCTGAATAAATATGCCACCGAAAGATTCGAAAAGCCGGACTGCTTTATTGATCACAATATTGGCAAAGATTAACCGAACTCCTACATTGTCGTAATTTCAAGTTAAATGATTCCACCCTATGACTAACTTGACTGTATTTTTTGTTAAGGCCATTGTATACATAGGTCTTGGAGGTCGAACGTGTTTGGTTGGGTTAAGGTCTCTCCAAGAACTCTTACGTAAGCCAGAGGCACAGACAAGCACACATAAAAGGCACTTGCCATTGTGGCACAATTGTATTCAACTATTTCAAGTAGAAAGTTGTAACAAGTTGTAATATCTCAAAGCCAACTTAAGCCAAATTAAATACATTTTAGACATTAATGTTGTACATGTAGGTGTAAATTATTAGTCATATAACCCATTGTTGATTGCATACCGGAAATATAATTGTTTGGTATTTGTGGAAGCATCACGTTTATTTTGTATCACTAGCTTTCGATCTGTAAGCCTGCATGGATCTTCGCCAGTGTAGTTATTAGAGGCGTGCATCGGATCGGATTGGACGTTTATAATCCGACAATTGGCTAATGTTTAAAATCCGATCCGAAATTGTCTAATCCGAATACGATCCGAGTTTTGATAAAGAATTCCGAACCGATCCGAAAAATCATTTAACAAAATAAATTTCTCATTCAGTGGAAATATTTAACCAAACAAATATAAAAGCAAGAAATACACATAGGCGTACGGGGCCGCTAAATTCTGGGGGGGCGGTAGCTTTTTTGCCTAAAAAATTCCACATTGCCCAAAAAATTTTTTTCGGAAAAATTATTTTGGCGACCTCCCCCCCCCCGTCGCCAAAAAAATTTCGGTCAGTGTACCATTTTAGGGGTCAAAAAATTTTTCCGGACAACCAATATTTTTCGGAACATAACACCAATTTTCCAAAAATCACAAAATTTGCCAAAAAATTTACTTAATTTTAGACAAAATTGACAGAATTTGTCCCATTTTTTTTAAATGCAAACCAAAATTGCCCGACTGTTGATCGAATATTGCCCGACTGCCCAAAAAACTGGGAAATTGCCCGACTACCCAAAAAACTGGGGGGGCTACCGCCCCCCCCCCCGGCCCCCTCGCCCCGTACGCCTATGGAAATACATGTCAAGAAGCTGACAAAGTGCATGATTCAGTGCATGATTCTGGATAATTTTAATTAAATTCATTTTATTTCGAATATCGAAGCCGATCCGATCCGACTACGAAACAACTTTATCAATCCGATCCAATCCGAAACGAACGAATCCAATCGAATCGGATTCGGATCGGATTTGCACACCTCTAGTAGTTATTATAGCGCCAATGAACACCGGACTTGGATCGAAACTTGAAAGCTTCGCCAAAGCCGAGACAAAGAAATAAACGTGTCCACAAAACAAAACAAAACAAAACAAAACAAAACAAAACAAAACAAAACAAAACAAAACAAAACAAAACAAAACAAAACAAAACAAAACAAAACAAAACAAAACAAAACAATTATATCTATTTTACCACGCAAATATCTACAATAATTATTAGGGCGAAAAAACCACACAAAATGCGACATGGCGATCTTTTTAACTACAAATTACGGGAAATAGAAATATTTCGAAAGTTCGGTACTTTAAGTGAATCGAGTTAAGAATATTTTTAGCTTTGGCGTAATTGCCTGGGGCCGGTGATTAAAGTTAACTATGATTAAGTGCAAACGTCATCCAATAAGAAGCGCCTATTTGAGAGTTAATCACTATTTAACTACAAAATAGTGATTAAAAAAGTGATTAAGAGTTTTATACAACCGGCCCCTGAATGTTTACAAAGTCCTGGCTAAGGTAGAAGAATTGCAACCTCCTTGGCAAAGAACATATGTGATATATTGACATTTATAGTTTACATTGTGATAGATACTCGTAAATAGCAAGCCTGTTTGCAGGCTATTAGGCATGGGCCTTCGGGCGTAATAATTAACTGAAAGACTATTATTGTACATGTGTTCGGGAAATACAATATAGAAATTTACAGTGGTGGCAGCGGTGATTCTCGCTTTAAATTGTCGGAAATGGCAGAAATAAAACAAGCCTGTTATGACGGTACGGGAGATGTAGATTTGTGGCTTATGAAAATGAAGTTCTATTGTTCTACAAAGAAATTTGAAGGTAAACAAGAAGCTCACGCCATAGCGAGTAAACTCGAGGGGGCGGCGTTTCTATGTATTGCGAGATTAGACGATGAACTTCAAGATGACCCAAAAGAAGTTAAAGCCGCGTTAAGGAAGGAATTCGACAAAGAATCGATCGACCACGAGAAAGCTGTCGACGAATTACGAGGTTTAAGGCGAAAAGGCGGTGAAACACCAGCACAGTTAGCGTGGAGAATCGAAAAGTTGATGGCGAAGGCTTACCCGGAGTTATGCGCGTCAACACACGGATCGGCAAAGAAAACAAAGGAACAAATGTTACATGATACCTTTTTGGGGGCTATTGACAATGCTGTTATAATTAATGACGTAATTATTACGTGGACACCACGCGTGTGTCACGCAATTCTGCGAGCACATGGAATATTAAGGTCTTGTGTGGAAGTTCTGAGTAGAGCGAGTTGAGAAGTGATATATAATTTTTAAAAGTTATTTTTGATTTAAAAACGAGTTGAGTTCAATTTATTCGAGTATAGTTCAATTTATTACAAGGTCCTTCGAACTGGATATGTCTGCTGAAAAGAGTAAAAGAGCAATTCGACGAGGAAATCGAGCTTTCGTAACGAAAGTTATTCAGACGGCAAATGACGCCATTGACAAGTTTGGTGGAACTCAGGCGGAGAAAGATGCGTTAGAGGGTTGTAAAATCACGTTAATCGATAAGAAAGAATCCATAAGAAAGCTTGATGAAGCTATTCTGAATGAAATTGAAGATGAAGAGAAGATTATGGAAGATATATTTCAGGCTGGCGAAGTGGGTGAGTCGATCAATAAAATGCTTGTTAAAATTGACAATGTTTTGAAGACAGTTGAAGCGAGCAATGTGTCCTCGCCAGGGGGACTGGGTACAACCATGCCTAGCGTAAGTCAGCCAATGAACCCCTCATCAGCCAGAGCAAAATTACCAAAACTGTCCTTGAAGAAATTTGCTGGAAATCCTACTGATTGGCAATCATTTAACGATAGCTATAAAGCTGCTGTTCACACTAATGACAGTTTATCTAAAGTTGACAAATTCAACTACTTGAAAAGTCTGGTGGAGGGTCCGGCAGCTGCAGCAATCGCACGGTTTTCGTTAACTGATGAAAACTATGAGACTGCTTTTAAACTTTTGGAAGAGAGATTTGCAAATCCACAAATTATAGTTTCCAGTCATGTTGAAGCCCTATTGAAGTTGGAACCTGTTTCTAATATACATGAAATTGTCAAGATTCGAAAGCTGTATGACAGTATTGAAACGCATATTCGTAGTCTAGCGAATTTGAACATAGAAAGTGAAACATATGGGACTCTTCTGATTCCAATGATTCTTGCTAAACTTCCAGAGGAAATGCAGTTGTTGATAAGTCGGAAGGTTGGCAAGGATGATTGGAAATTAGATGAGCTACTTAAGGAATTTAGAATTGAGTTAGAGGCTCGAGAAAGGTGCTTGTTGTTACAAAGCACTACAGAGAAAAAGGACGGTACCAGGAGAAAATATGAGCCTAGTACATCATCAGCACTTTTCACGGGAAGTGACAATCGTTCAATTCAGAAATGTACGTACTGTGGGGAACAACATTTATCATCACGGTGTAATATAATTACAGATATTTCAGCACGTAGAGCTATTCTCCGAAAAAAGGGACGGTGTTTTGCATGTTTGAAGTCTGGTCATATAGTCAGACATTGTCCTTCCAAGTTTAAATGCCCGAAATGTGGAAATAATCATCACATTTCTCTCTGTGAAGGTATAAAACCAAGGGAGGACCCTACCAAACCCAACCAGAATCAAAATCAACAACCACCCTTTCAGGCCAAGGGAAATGAAGCATCAACTAATGTTTGTGCAAACAGCAATGTCTCGGTGCTTTTGCAAACTGCAAAGGCTATGGTGGGAAACCCTAATCTCCCCCAACAGCAGAAATTGCAATCGAGAATTGTTTTCGATTCCTGCAGTCAGAGATCTTATATATCAAATCGGCTGAAGAATTCATTGGGTGTCCAACCTGTTAATAAACAATCCCTTTTGGTTAAAACTTTTGGCAATGACTCCCCAAAATTGATGTTGTGTGATCTAGTCCAAGTCTCTATTACAGCCACTGATGGCTTGGAATTGTATGTCAATGCCTTTAGTGTCCCTGTAATATGTAGTCCGATTTCGAACCAAGCAGTAGAAGTAGCAGTGGAGAAATACCCGCATTTAAATGGTTTAGACTTAGCAGATAACAGTAGTCCTTCTATTGAAGTCGACATTGACATTCTAATTGGAGCTGACTTCTATTGGAACTTTGTGTCTAATGAGTCAAAAAGAGGTGAAGGACGTGGACCTGTTGCCCTGTCAACTAGGCTAGGGTGGGTTTTGTCTGGCCCCATTGATAACCTTAGTGAAGAATCTAGTTCCACAACCAACTTCGCTGCAACTCATGTATTACGGATTGATGCTACCCCAGTTCAGGATAACCAAAACCCGAACATGACTGAGCAACTTAAAAAATTTGGGGAGTTAGAGTCTATAGGCATTCGGGATGACGAAAGTTCAGTCTATGACAAGTTTGTTGAAGACGTTAGATTTAATGGGGAGAGGTATGAAGCAAAATTACCCTTTAAAGAGCACCCTCCCACCATCCCTGATAACCATGCTGTTAGTGTAAAAAGATTAGGAAGATTAGTTCATCGACTCCAAGATCAACCTGCTCTTCTTACTGAATATGATAAGATAATTCAAGACCAAGTCCAGAAGGGAATTGTAGAACCTGTTGACCCACAAGTTATCCCAAAGGCTGGAAATGTACACTACCTACCCCACAGAGAAGTTGTGAGAACTGACAAAGACACTACGAAAGTTAGAGTGGTTTACGACGCGTCAGCTAAGACAACAGGACCTAGTTTAAATGAATGTTTGTATACTGGACCTTCTCTAACCCCACTGATTTTCGACATCTTGCTGCGTTTCCGTGTCCACTCGGTTGCCATGACAGCTGATATAGAGAAAGCCTTTTTGAACGTTGCAGTCGCGGAGGAACATCGTGACTTTCTTAGATTTTTATGGTTAAATGACCCCTACAGCAGCAGCCCAAGCGTTATACACCTCAGATTCGCCAGAGTTGTGTTTGGAGTTACGTCAAGTCCGTTCATTTTAAACGCTACCATTCGTCATCATGTTAATCAATATCTGCTGAATGATCCAGAGTTTGTCTACGAGCTTTTGCGATCCCTCTACGTCGATGACCATGCATCTGGTTGCGAGAGTATACCTAGAGCGTTAGACCTAGCAAGAAAGATTAAATATCGACTTTCGACAGGAGGTTTCAACATGCGTAAATGGCAGACTAATTCACCAGAACTCAAGCAAGTGTTCCAAGTAGATCCCGATTTCGCTGAAGATATTCCTAGTCCTACTGCAGATCCTTTACCAACTATGAACGAAGAAGATTGTGGTTACACAAAATCAGCTCTTGGTGGCCAGAATGATGTGAACAGCAAAGTCCTTGGTCAAACGTGGAATGTCCTGAATGACGAGTTTGAAATTAATTTAGCCAATGTTGTAGCTGGTTATGATCCAAAGAGTTGTACAAAGCGAATTGTGTTGAGCATTACAGCAAAGTTTTATGACCCCCTGGGGCTGATATCACCTGTTATTCTTCAATTAAAGCTGTTGTTCCAAGAATTGTGCAAGAGTAACGTTGAGTGGGATGAACAATTGA